TCCCTCTTCTCAGCTTTTCTTATTCTTCCCCCCCCCTGAACTTGGGAAAAATGGAGTAAAATATAACTAGTCTAGCTAGTCACTTAGTCTCATTAGTCAGTATCTCCCCTAACAAAAAATAAGAAAAAAAAAAAAAAGGCGGATGATCGATGCCGAAAATGTAGTAGAATTTGGGAACGGATCATCCGATTGTTTATTCATCAAAGCTCTTAAGAAGAAAACCCGAAATTCGTTGGACTAATAGTTCTTCTTATTATGATTCTGATTGATCTTACGTCCGCTTCTGTATTACATTCCTCATTGAATGTCTCTCGCATGGACAGTTCCAATTCTCTCACGTGTTCTCAAATCTCAATGTTACCGTACCATACGCGACACGTGACGACAGGCCATTGATGGTCTGTTTCATGGTCTATTCCATAGTTGGTAATGAATTCATGTCATGGTCATTGCCTGCTCTGCAGGCTGGATGATGACCTGAAGTACTCGACATGATTCAGGTACTACCTAGTACCGTACATACTACAACAAAGTGGTTCCCCAGCTTAACGGTCATGAAGATGGACCCTGGTGGAATGCGACCCCATTGTTCTCCAGCCGGTGTATTGTCCGAGTCCGAGCTTCTTCTTCTTCCAGGATATCAGAATGACTCCAGGCTCACGAACCACCCTGGGGCAAGTCCCCCATTCCCTTACAGAAATATAGCCAGGGATTAGACCTCTCTTTGAGTTCCAGCCTAGATTGCATATTTATACGATGACATTGAGTGAGATATCACGCGCCGTCGCGCTGACTCCTCGTTCACATCACGTGACGCAGGTCGCTTAACCGAAGTGGGAAGCCCTTCGGCCTGTTTTTTGAAATCTCGCACAACGCCCGCCAGAGCCCAAAGATCCCTCCCTAACCGACGTTGAAGGGCCGTCGCGTGGCAGTGTATTCGCAAATAGGGACTTTATCGCTTTCGACACTTGCTGCCCGCCGTTGTCGAGCGAAATCCACCGTTTTTTCGCCCCTCGAACCACAGACGTGTGCCGTTTTTGCCATAATTCGATAGGAATCGCTTATCCCGAAGCATTCATCACCCATCATGCCGCCGCCTCCTCATATCAAGCCCGAAAATGTCCTGAAGGTGAGTGGAACCTTCTACTGCGATGGACATTGATGCAAAATCCCGACGGTCGCGGATAACGGAGATGTCTGATGGAAACTAACGCTGGCTTTTTTGCTCGTCTTAGAGGGCTCAGGAACTTATCGCCGTGGGCCAGGCCCCCGCCGCCCTTAATGTCCTTCACGAACATGTCACCTCCAAGAGGACGCGCAGCAGCCCCATCGTGTCGCTGGAACCGGTTATGCTACTTTTCGTCGAGCTGTGCGTGGATCTTCGCAAGGGAAAGGCCGCCAAGGATGGATTGTATCAATATAAGAACATCGCCCAGAACACCAATGTGGCCACTATCGAGGTACGCGAATCATGGGAGACCAGAGGTGGAAGCGGTTGTCTGTATTGGTTAGAAGCTTACAGGTTGTGTGTATTTGCAGGTCGTCCTCAAGAAGTTCATCGAACTCGCCGAGAAGAAGGTGACCGAAGCCCAAGCGAAGGCCGATGAGATCCAGTCCTCGTTGGAATCCGCCGCCCCCTCGACTAACGTGGAGGATTTGGAAGCCATTGAAACCCCCGAGACCATCCTTCTCGCCACTGTTTCGGGCGAGCAGTCCCGTGATCGTACCGACCGTGCTGTCGTGACCCCATGGCTCAAGTTCCTTTGGGAGACCTACCGGACCGTTCTGGAAATCCTGAAGAACAATGCTCGTCTCGAGGTTATGTACCAGACTACCGCCCTCCAGGCCTTCCAGTTCTGCCTGAAGTACACCCGCAAGACGGAATTCCGCAGACTCTGTGAGCTCCTCCGGAACCATGTGCAGAACGCTGCCAAGTATTCTGCTCAGATGCACGCTATCAACCTCAGCGATCCCGACACTCTTCAGCGCCACTTGGATACCCGTTTCCAGCAGCTGAATGTGGCCGTTGAGTTGGAACTCTGGCAGGAGGCTTTCCGCAGCATTGAGGATATCCACACCCTTCTGAGCCTCAGCAAGCGCCCGGCCAAGAACGTCATGATGGCCAACTACTACGAGAAGCTGGCCCGCATCTTCCTAGTTAGCGAGAACTACCTTTTCCACGCCGCTGCCTGGAGCCGCTACTACAACCTCCTCCGCCAGTCTGCTGCCAGCCTCGCTGCCGGCCAGGGTACCAAGAAGGAGAACCCTTCCGTTACTGATGCCGACATGACCAAGGCCGCCTCTTTCGTCCTCCTGTCTGCTCTTGCCATTCCCGTGATCAGCACCTCTCGTTCTCGTGGCGCCTTGGTCGATGTGGACGAGGTTCGCAAAAACAAGAACACTCGCCTCACCAACCTCCTGGGTATGGCCCAGTCTCCCACCCGTGCGGTTCTCTTCAAGGATGCTCTCAACAAGGGTTTGCTCATGCGTGTTCGCCCTGAGATCCGTGACCTCTACAACATCCTCGAGGTCGACTTCCACCCCCTGTCCATCTGCAAGAAGATTACCCCCATCCTCAAGCAGATTGGTGCTGATCCCGAGATGGAGAAATACGTTGTGCCTCTGCAGCAGGTCATTCTGACCCGTCTCTTCCAGCAGCTGTCTCAGGTCTACGAGTCGGTTTCGCTGAAGTTCGTGTACGAGCTGGCCCAGTTCCCCGACCCCTTCCAGGTCACCCCCGCCATGATCGAGAAGTTCATCATGAACGGCTGCAAGAAGGGTGATCTTGCCATTCGGGTAGACCACATCTCGGGTGTCCTTACCTTCGACAGCGATGTGTTCTCGTCCGCTAAGGCCCTGCACTCTGGCAGCGCGGCTGGTTCTGCTGAAAGCGAGGTGGGCTCGGTGCAGCGCATGCAGAACACCCCTGCTGAAATCGCTCGCCTGCAGCTCACCCGCCTCGCCAAGACCCTCCATGTTTCGTGCATGTATGTCGATCCCTCGTACAACGAGGCTCGTCTGCAAGCCAAGCAGGCGGCCCACGCCCGCGCTGCTGCCGGTGCTGCCAAGGAGCATGAGGAGACCTTGGCTCGCCGTGCCCTTATCGACAAGAAGAAGGAGGCCGCCACCGATGCTCTGCAGCGTAAGCAAAGAGAGGAGGAGACCCGCAAGCGGATCCGTACCCAGCAGCTCCAGGAGGCTGAGAAGCAGCGTCTGCTTGATGAACAGCGCGAGCGCGAGAAGAAGCGCATCAAGGATGAGCAGGATCGTATTCGCGAGCAGGAACTCAAGAAGCAAATTGAGGAGTTGAAGAGCGGAGTGAAGGGCATTGACCTCAGCGAAGTTGATCTCAAGGACCTCGATGCTAACCGCCTCCGCGCGATGAAGCTCGCCCAGCTCGAGAAGGAGAAGAACGAGCTGAACGATCGTATCCGCACCACTGGCAAGCGTATTGACCATCTGGAGCGTGCTTTCCGTCGCGAGGAATTGAAACACATTCCTGCCGACTACGAGGCACAGAAGAAGCATGATATGGAGCTCTACGAGGCCATGAAGGCTGAGACCATGAAGGAGGCTGAGGATAAGCACAAGGAGGCTGTTGCTCTCAAGCACCGCCTCAGCCGTCTGGTACCTGTATTCAACACCTTCCGCAAGGATGTCTCTGAGAAGCGCCACGAGGAGTTTGAGAGGCGCCGCAAGGCGGCCGAGAGAGATTTCGAGGCTAAGAAGAAGCAACGTATCAAGGAAGTGCAGGACCGTAGGCGCCGTGAGAGGGCTGAGCGTGAGGAAGCTGAACGTCGCCAGAAGGAGGAAGAGGAACGTATCAAGCGTGAGGAAGAAGAGCGTGCTGCCAAGGAGGAAGAGCGCAGACGTGTTCTGGCTGAGGAGAAGGCTAAGCGCGAAGAGGAGAGAAAGTGAGTTCATAGTTCTGATCCCTTGTGGTCTACTTTGTCGATGTTGGAGAATGTTGCTAACCTCCCTTACAGGAAACTCGATGAGATGGCCCTTAAACAGAAGCAGCGCGAAGAGGAGGCCGAAGCCCGTCGTGCTTCCCGGAGAACCGGTGTTCCAGAGCCGCCGACTCGTGCAGAGCCTGAACGTACTGCTCCTCGCCTCAACCTGGCTCCTCGCACTGGTGGCGGACCTAGCTGGAGAGAGCGCCAAGCCGCCAAGGAGTCCACCGGCGGTGCTGCTCCTGCTCCTGCTCCTGCTCCTGCCAAGGAAGAGCCTGCTGCCCAGCCTCCCCGCAGAACTGGTGGCTACGTGCCTCCTCATCTCCGCTCTGGTTCTGCAGCTGCCCCTGCTGCTCCCCCTTCTAACGGCGCTGCACCATCTCGCTACGTGCCCCCTAGTGCTCGCGACTCCGGTTCCTCCACTCCCCCCTCTCGTACGCAAACCCCCGCTACTACTTCTGAGGAGCCTAAGAGCAGTGGAAAGTGGGTGCCTCGGTGGAAGCAGCAACAAGGCCAGTAAATAATTCACGTCGTTTGAAAAGTTTCTTGGAATGTTGAAAGGATGTGTTGCTTTTACAATTTCTCCCTTTTTATTCTCTTTTACCCTCATGTTCGCATTGTCTCCTCCACGGTATCACTTACCTTGTTTCTATGATGATCGCTGAGACTTCTGGGACATCCTTTAATTTGGTCCCTAGATAGTCTCTCATGTCACCAAATGCATTTATGTTCCATTAAATGAAGTCTTCACCCTCTTCTTTTCTGTCATGTCCGACAGCTACTTTGATGGATAATGCAGAAGCTATGAGTCTCTTTCTTTCACCGTATATGATTTTACCTTCTACTTTTGTTGAAACTCTTTCCGATGGGTAATTGGTGGTGTATGATGTCCAATTCATGTTGATTTGACTTGACATTCTTACCTACCTTTTATAGACATTTTGCGGATTTATCCGGGAATTGTTACGGCCATGTCACTCCTAGTAATCGAGTAGCGTCCTTCGTCTGGTTATTTCCTTGGGTGGGTAATTTCCGTTAGGTAGTTCATGGCATTCTTTGTTTATCTGATGTTTCCTTTACAAACGCCTTACTGTACAAAGCAGAAATTAACTGGTAAGAAACAGACCGGTGTAACTGGTAAAGGAATTTATCTCGACCTGCGAAGAGAAAGAGCAGGAACAACAAAAGAGAATTGAATAAGATAAGATGTCGGATCTAGTGGACCGCGGTTGGTAAGGTTAAGTACTTTGAATGAAAGAGATAGATGGGGCGTATGTATGTCTGGCTGTCTCATGCTGAATTTAAGTTGAGCATTTGATCAGAACAAAGGAATAAGTGTATGACGTAAAGATCTATATACTTAGAAAAGAAATAGTCAAAGATAAAGTGAAAAAAGGGGGTATGTCGCAGCCTCTAATATTACGCAGATCATTCATATGATGAGGCGATGTTATCGTGAGAATTTCCATCTGGAAGCGATACTGGGAGTCGCAGATGAGAAAGAACGAAGAACAACAAAAGTCGTGAGTTTGGTTTTAAGCAGCAGCGGTGGCGGCTTCTGCGCCGGCAGCTCCGAAGAGTCTCTCCCTCCATTCTCCGCATACGGCTTCGAAGCCGCTGACGACGTCTCCGCACTCGCGCCCGGCTTCCCGGTCTCGGAGACGGCGATCCCAGTCGCCTTTCTCAATCCACCGGGCGCCCTCTTCGCGACCTTCTTCTTCACGGCGGAGTTCAGAGACCAGTTCGCGCGCAGATCGGAGCCTTCGAGAGGCGGTGGCTGTTAGCTGACGCGATTCGTAAAGCGTATCGCTCAAGCTTTGTAAAGAGAGTGTGATTTCGGATGTTTGTGAGACGAGCGATTGGAGGGAGTAGAGTGGGTTCAGAGCGGGTGAGTGCGAGGGTGTTGCGGGTCTTGATGAGTGATGGGATTGGACGGGGAAAGGATAAGGGAGGTTAGGTAAGAGCTCGTCGTCGATTAGAGGGATAAGGGAATCTATGGCATCTTCGGAGAGAAGAGGGAAAGGAGAGAAAAGTAGAGGGTGGGTGAGTGTTTGGAGAGTCCGAGTTTGGTGGGTGAGATGTGAAGTGATGGAAGAGTGTGCTGTGATAAGTCTGTGTGGAGAAGCCGGAATCAGTATAATTACTTCATAAAAGCAAATCAGCCTGGACGACTGAAACAAGGCCTTACCTCATAGCATTATTCTCGATCCCACTCTGCCCCCCAAGATCCCGAAGTGCCTCAACGACGCGAGCAATGGCATGATCACTCTCACTCCCATTGTTTTCCAGTCCCCGCCGAGCTAAGCTCTCAACCTCCGCCATCTGCATCTCTAGACTTGGCGAGATGTCCGCAGCTTCCTCTAGGTCCGAGTCAGGGCCATAGTCTGAACCGTCATACTGTGATTCGGTTCGGCGATGTCGATGACCTCCATTCCGAGTCTTAGGTTTTGGAGGCTGTAGAGAAGCACGCTCGGACGAGTACCCCGATGATGGTGTCCTGGTTCCCATGTGATAGCCGTCTTCTGAGTCGCTGCGATCCATATGTTGCGAATCCGCAGGGATATGTTCGACCTCCTGTCCTGACGCATACCCATAGCCACCCTCCTCCTGCTCCCAAGCATCAGCCAGTTCGTCTGCAAGGTTTCCCAAGCCACCCCCGCCCATGTCCGCAGCACTCCCAAAGTCACCCGACATTCTATAATGAGATCCGTTTATGCTTTGCGCATGGTGTCCGCGGGCCGGAGATGACGGGGCTGAAAAGCGAGGAGACATAGGCGACCTTGGTGGACTATGAGAGAAGCCATTTGGAGCATAGGTGCCCGGAGAAATAGGGTCAAAGTCGATGCTGGATTGACTCTGATTATGGCGGTGAGACAGCCTCAGGGGAGATGGTGGGATGGACGGCATGATTCAATCCCAGCCAGTTGCATAGATGATCGGAAAAGGAGAAAGCAGGAAAAAGAAAGAGTGCAGGTGTCACTCGGTCAACGTCTTAATATAGCGGACCGAAAGAGCCGTTGGAAATTGCAGCTGCAAGGGTCCCTCCGATGGTGGCCTCGGAACGTGACTAGGGGGCTGCGCGGAGGGGGGAGAAGTAAAGTAAAAAAGGATGTCAACAATACGCGGTCGACCGCATCACCAGGACGCTCAAGATGATATATGTACAAAGGAGAGACGGAATTCAAACTCTGTATATCAAAAGCAAATCAAGATATTTACCAGTGACAATGATGCGAGGGAGGAAAAGAATGGAAGATAGCGTGAAGTAAAATAAGGGAAAGTTGCGTCCGTCCAAATCATCGGCCAGAGCGGCATTTTTCCCGTGACCGCCGAAGCCCCAATTGGGCCGATGGTTTCTTTCCCCACGGCGGAGCTTCAATTCAATTTACCTTTCACGACAATAATTTCCCACCTTAATTCTCTGTTTCGAATATCTATCACTAATTACCTATTCTTATCCTTCCACTCATATTCACTTCCATTCCATACTGTCCACGCCACAATGAGTTCCATCCGGCGCATGTCCCCGACGGACTTACTCTCCCTCAACCTCACGAATCTCGACCCATTAACGGAGAACTATGACCTGGGTTTCTACCTCAATTACCTCATGCGGTGGCCCTCCCTCTTCAGCAGCGTCCAAGACCGCCGGGAAGGCATCGTCGGTTACAGTATGTGGACGGAATAGTCATAATACTTGTTCCATGGCACCTAGATTTAGAATCAGGGCCCCACTACATATCGCATATGCATGTCGCTAACGTGGCGCCATTCACATAACAGTCATGGGAAAGACCGAAGAACAACACCCATCCATGCGTCACTCCGAACACTATACTCCCTGGCACGGCCACATCACCGTCTTAACAGTGGCGCCAGCATGGCGTCGGCTTGGCCACGCTCGCCGTCTCACGGAGCGACTCGAGCGTGGATCTGACATCAACGACGCCTGGTTTGTTGACTTGTATGTCCGAGCTGGGAATAAGATAGCGGTGGATATGTATAAGGGAATGGGGTGAGTATCCCGCTATTTGATGCGCATGGCGTGAGTTTTGCAAGGCTGACGAGGGGGCTCGTACCACAGATACTCTGTATTCCGGCGGGTAGTTAATTACTATAGCGATGATCCGACAGGGATGTCAGATTCCGGTGAAGACGCATTTGATATGCGGAAACCATGCTCTCGAGATAAGAATCTACAACATGTACGGGAGAATGGCGAGGATTTCCTTGTTAGTCCGGAAGATGTTTCATAGAGTTCCTGGCCTGTTTCGATGTTTGATTAGGTGTGCGCATTTTACAAGCTCGGTATATCTTAGCATTTAGGTGTTTAGGTGTTATCTTTGACCTTCTCTCTCTTTTGCAGTGCTTCGCATTCTGCTAGATAGTGTTGATGTAAATGTGTACGGAATAATGAAAACTGCAAGGGAGTGGAACGTATGCTCTAGGAATGTTTCTGGCGCTTAGAATACTGTAGCGTCAAATGTACTGAAATTCTAGTCTATCTATTCAACATTATGTATATATGTGCAAATTCTATCGCAAATCTCTATGAAAGCATGCAACTTTTGTAGGACCCAAAACTCCAGCCTCCCGGCATAATGCAATGACTTTGTATGGAGAGATCGTCCGATCGTTTCCATCTGTTCAGCTTGGGGTGTACCGTTAGGAGCCGACTATGTGACTGGCGTTCTCGATGAATCCTCATTGAAAACTGAGCCTCAGGGGAGTTATGTCCCGTCTCTGTTCTGACAAACGTGGAGCGACACGGAAACCCTGAGAAGGGACGCTGATAGCTCTGAGTTGGAGTGGCTTCGTTTTTCCTATCACCCCTTGGCCCAGAAGAGCAAGAACGGCGTTTCCTCATTTCGCTTGTAGGCCTGGTAGAAAGAGATATGGCACCAGAGTTTAGGCTTTAACAGCAAAGTGGAAGCCAGTGCGAGACAGTCTCAGCGCAGCGAAAATCGAAGAAGCCGTGATGAGACAGCAGGCAGTGAAGAGTTGGACACCAAGATACTTATGAGTGCTGTCCAGAATGGCACCGCCGATCGGTGTTCCGATTAATAGTCCGAAGGAAGTGGTTGAGAAGACCATACCCAAGCGTGTTCCCAAATTACGGATGTCCTTGGTCATGCTAGCCATAACCACCGGCGGCAGCGACACAAAACCACCGGAAGTGAGACCATATAGAATGGCCAAGACAATGATACCAGGGACGTTGTGCACACCAATCCAAGCAAAGGCAAGAATAGCGGTAGCGGTAGCGGCAGGGGTGAGGACGTTCAAGGGGCCGGTATGGTCGGCAACGAAGTTGGGCAAGACTCGTCCAAAGGTGGACCCGGCGTTCAGCATTGCAAGAAGATAGAAACCCAGGTTAGAATCGACAATCCCGGTCTCGATGGCGTAGGACTGGACGTAGAATAAGAAGTTGTAGAACCCCAAAAAGCCCATGAACATAGCGAGGGAAAACATGACAAATTGCGGTTCTTTGTACGCTGAAAGCTGAATCAGCTTACGTTTCTCCTTAGGCTGGAAGCGCATTCGCATGAGGCAACATGAGATACAGCAGGTTCCGAAACAAAGGAACCCTACTGCACGCGTAGCCCACTCGAACCCAACACTCTGCTGTAATTGATTGAACATTATTGGGTAGATCACGCCACCGATGCTGCTTCCCGAAGCAGCCAGTCCATTGGCCAAACCTCTCTTCTTTTGGAAGTACTGAGGTAGGATGGCGACAGAGGGGACGAACAGACAGCCGGCTGATAATCCGATAACGACCCCTTGTGCGAGAATTAGGTGCCAGAACTTGGAGGATAGACTAGTCATCATAAGGCCAAATGGCAGCCCAACAGTCCCAAAGGTGATAAGGCCACGGAAATAGCCTGCATCAAATAGGGGACCAGTCACGACCCCAAACAACATAAGAAGGAACGACTGCAAGGATCCAATCCAAGCAATAGAGTCTGAGGACATGTCGGACAAGAAACTTTGTTCGTAGTATGTTTGGAATGCACCCCAGGTGTTGATGACACCCCTAAAACATGACCAAGTAAGCGAGTTGCCTCTCAAGTAAAGGATATATGTCCAACTGAATCGCACGACATATGCATGGTACATACCAAGAATTGAAGAACAAGAAGAACGAGCCAAGAACTTGCAGCCAGGTATTCAACCCCGTATCAAATGTTGGCTCTTCGGTTTCCCCCCCAGACGAAGAGTCCGACAAATCGGATGTCTGTTCACTGCCATTGTGAAGGTTGTTGCCTGCCCCGGGATCCACGACAATCTTTTCTTCGATATCAGCATCCGTACCCATATTGACAGCGCCTCACTTGCGGTTAGACAGCCTTTCTGCGAATGCAGAAACACATAGAAGACACAAGTAAGGACGAAAAGGACGGGAGGGTGAGATAGACACGCACAACGAGGCTGTGGTCAAGTTGAGGAAGGCGCTTTTCGACAAAGTCTGGCAGACTGATGGTAATGATACCCCAAATAGATAAGCGAAGAGAAAACTACAAGTGGTCTGAGACCGGAAAAGCGGAGATTTATACATTGGCATTACAATTTCTCAGCGCCTTTTGTCTCAGCGGGCCGATACCAGGCTAAGCTCGCGCACCAGGTTAAACCCAGGGCCGCCGGTGGAGACTCGGGGAGATGGTCCACAATCACGGGGCCCATCCTTCAAGAAAAAATGAAAAAAAAAAATTTTTTTGAGAGAAAAAGCAGGCTAGCCGCTAGAACAGAGAATTTTGTGAGTGACCCATCGGTGGAATGCACCCTACTGGCTAGCGACTGAATTACCGAGTACACAGGGCGTCAACCGCTTCACGGCGCATTGCCGACGGTGACTGCCATATCCGATGCTGAACCTTTAATCCTGATGTATCGAGATTCAACTGCAAAGCTACCCCCAAGTATTGAGAATGCCAACACCTGAGCTTCAGACCGACCATGATTGAGACCTGTAGTTTCATGGGGCCCCATCATTGGCTCAAGGAAGAGTGGTCGGCAGTCACCGCATCAAACGTCTAGCTGAGTAGTGTGTCAACGTGCCGATTATCCAGCGGGGAAGGAGACCATATTATTAATCCATGTCGCATTCAATCTTCCAAAGGAAGATCTTCCAGGAATCTTGGCTGTCTTGGTATCAATTGGCTCAGCCCATACAACCGTATATCGGCCCCAAAAAAGGAGGTGGACGAAATTAAGGTCATTTTCCATGAGTCACGACCCAGTGGAGTCTGCGGAGTTCCCATTTCAACTCCGAGTGAATAAATTTGTACGGAGTATTGATACGGAGAAGCCCTAAATCTCCACGTGGGGGATTATGATGCGGCCTTATCGATTGATATCTGCATGAAGGCCATTATCGTCCGTCTGACAACCAAGGACCTCCGTATCATAAGCAGTGATGTAACAAGGTCTACAGTATCAGAATGTGGGGGAACTTTAAAAAGGTCCTTAATAGCCTGTTTATCGCCTTTCGCATCGTTTGATAGGATATCTGATCCGGCCCGGAAAATTTTCCTCCCGGTGCAGATCCTAAAACGGCTTCAATCAATGTACTTGGTTACGTAGCTAGCTCCTGAGTTCTGTCAACTCTCCCTCTCTATACCTGGTTCGATGTCTCCACTACATCTTACGTTAGGGTAACTTTATCGAGCTTGGCTCTGTGTCCGCTTCGAAGCCAAGCCGCGGTGCATGACCTAAACAACCGACACTCACTGCATAGTAGTGGCATCTGTCCTGAGTTATAGTAGACTAGATAGAGACAGTTTGGACTAGCCAGTCCGTATATTACGGTCGTCAGGCCCGTCACTAATGGGATATAGTGTGTAGAAGCTGTCAAGAATAGAAGTGTATGATGCTTTCCGAAATTGGACACTGTGATGCCCTTCAGAAACCTTCAACCATTCGGGGTGGAATCACCTATATCAAAACACGTGGAGCTTAGAAGCCAGTTCTTCTGAATACCCACAAGGCTCGCAATGACCCTGAAGTCTGGTCCCGGTAATCTCATCGAACGGGTACTGTACAGGCAGTAATGTCTCGTCCTGAAGTGCCCATGACCGGGGGGTACACAGCTAATGTGTAGAAAAAGTTGTAATACTTTCGTGAAGGTAGCAAATTGGTCACCATTAATCCGGATGATAAGTGTAAACGCGCGTCTAAAATTACTTTATAGTAGCATGGCAAGGTCCTATGAAAAGCAATAGTGTCAACATCAAAACTATTTTTTTTTTTTCTATATTGAAATAGACTGTACTGCGTTATCGTTTTGAGGTTTTTTTTTTTCCCCCCTTCCCAGTGACCCAGGCTGGCTAGCCATTGTGGTCCGCTTTCCTACTCCAAAACTCCAAACGCTATGCTGCACACAAGGAATGAAAGAACGTACATGATAGAAAGAGCCCAATTTCCAATACACAGCCACCCATCCCATCTTTTTATTTAGAGTAATTCTTCGCATGTCCAGTCCTCGTACCTAAATGAGAGAAACAACAGTCAACCTGACTCTGTAAAACTAAGGAATCAAAATGCCGCTTACCATCCATCAGGCAGATATCTTCTCACAATAAGGGGGATTTTCTTCTGATTCAGTTCCTTGATGGCGATCTGCAAGGGATCTGTCTCTCCTTCAAGATCCACAAGCACAGGAGCGTTCATACTGTTAATATGTCAGAGTAACAATCCCCCACGTTCAGTGAATACCGGTCTATGACCCACCTGATTTGCAAGGCCCTGGTGCCCAGAACACGCGCCCGCTCATACTTGGTCATGTAGGGGGTTGTCGTGCGCTGGTCGTTTGGCACCTTCCTTTCCCGCACTTGCTCCATCACTTTCCCCGAGTATCCGGCGCTGGGATCGCCCGAAACGACAACGCGATCTCCATTGACTGCGGGGGTGTAGTGGTCCTCTCCGTATGCTTCTGCGCCTTCCACACCCTCAATGTCCTCGGGGTTCAAGAAGTCTTCGGGCTCATTGTCATCGTAGTCCTGACCGGCGTCGAAGTCATAGCTAGAAAAGTGTTAAACCAGAAGATCTTCTATTGAAACAACCATCGGCAAAGAGATCTGTTTGGCGCATCCTCTTCTCTTTGCGCTAGCTGTAGGTTGCTGTGGAAAAATGGCTTCTTACTTGTCCTCGTCACCGTGGTCACCGTAGTCAGACATTGTGCCTGTTTAAGAGCGAAGGAACGGGGGAAAGATGGAGAACAAGTGCCACACAAGCGAATGAAAAGCCAACACGGAGTCCCGGACGATTTGGGGTGAAGCGATTGATGTTGCGACGGAGCTTCCGAGTGAAGAATTCGATATCGCGACTCCAGAAGGCGGCGGAAAAAGTTCCTTAGGCACTAGTCCCCTTTTGGAGTTTAACCTCACCGCTTTAACAGCATCTTCCGGCAAAATTTAACGATAAGCGGTCTTGAATTAAATTTATCGTCGTTCTCAACTGTCGCTCTTTGGTTAAATTCTTGTCCTGAATGAGATCATAGGCTTGGGGGCAGTAACCCTAATACTCCTGAGCTATGGGCCAAAAAAGAAAAGCTTCGGAAGGCTTTGATACTCCCAAGAAAATCCTCAAGCAGACGGCACTGGATCATACCGGTAAGGAAGCTCCCTTCTGGCCTTCAGAATCATTGAAAAAAAGAAAAAGACTAAGCATTATTCAATGGACGTAGACCCAATTTATGAGGAAGGTCATTCCGATTGCGACTACGTATCATCAGATGAGGGGAGCATAGATAGCAATAGCCTTCATGAAACCCCGGCAACTCCGATCTCAACAATCTCAGCCAGGTACCCTTCCGAGCTGAAGACTCACCGCTGCCCTTTCGACGGGTGCACAAAGGCCTTCAATCGTCCAGCTCGCCTTCAGGAACATCTTCGTTCGCATAATAACGAAAGGCTCTTCAACTGTACGCACGATAACTGCGATAAGACATTTTTGCGAGTTTCGCATTTGAACCATCATATCAAGAGCGCTCACACCGGAGTCCGAGATTACGTATGTGACCGGCCGGGGTGTGGGAAGAGCTTTGTAACTGGATCCCGTCTTCGTCGCCATTTGGCTGCTCATGATGGAAAAGAAAAGTATCGCTGTACGGAATACCCTCCTTGCAATGAAACGTTCCGAAAGCACTCGACCCTCCAGAAGCATATAACGACTGTCCACTTGAAGCGAAAACCATTCCAATGCCCGCATATTGACCCAAGCACTGGTCAGAAATGCTCTATGGCTTTTGACACAGCTGGTCACCTGCGAGCACATGAGAGTAGAGTTCACACTGAGAAGCGGTTCAGCTGCACGGAGTGCTCGCAGCATATGGAAGGCACCGACCCGTCCTCAGATAATCTTTCGGCTGGCATGTCTGCAGTGACTTTCCCTACCTATGCTCTTCTTCAGGCTCACATCAAAACTGCCCATCCCCCACAATGCCCTAACTGTTCTATCACATGTTCGACAGCCCGTGAACTACGTCGGCATCTTGAAGTTGCACACGGAGATGTGACTCTCGAAGAACGAAAGGTATTCCCATGTGTAGTCCCCGGGTGTGATCGAAGCTTCACGAAGAAGGGAAACTTGACGGTCCATATCCGGACCGTCCATCAAGGAGAGAAACGGTTCGTCTGTGGCGAGACGGATCTCTCGAGCTCCAAAAAGGTAGCGGGGTGGATAGGAGATGGATGTGGAAAGCGATACGGAAGCAAACTCGCTCTCGAAGAACATATTCGTACCGCACACCTTGGTTGCCTGAATGCTAAAGCCGAACGACGACAACGTCTTGGTCTGGGTAAAGGACAACAGAATGCTCAAAGTAGACCCACTGGTATATCAGCGCTGGCCGCTCTGACGGGTGAAGGCTACGCCGAGGAAACAGGTCGCCACATTCGGTGTTTCTTCGACACTTGTGCGCACCGCTTCCACCGCAACTATGACCTTTGGGTTCATATGGGCAGCAAACACAGCTGCACTGAGGACGAGATCCGCGATATGTTCATGCAGCGAGCATTGTTGGCTGAAGACCCAGAGCCTATTACTGGTGACATGCTTGGAATTTACGGCCTTGAGTTTGACAACGACCCCTCTTATGAACCGTATATACTAGGGGAAGCCTTAGGTGCGAGCGCAGGCCTGGGCACAAAGAACGAACATACCCTTGCGGATTTGAACCCGCCAGACTTCCCCAGTAACCTGGAGTTCGACTCCAACCTTATGATGCAAGATATTGATTCGAAGACATCAGATGCTGACGATATGGCGATGATTGACCCTTTACTAGCGTATAATATGATGGACGCATAGAGATTCCATACAAATAATCTCGTGTTCTTCTTATTCTTGGCGACACCTGGCGACATCTTTTTTCTTTCTATTTTCCACATTACTTTCTTTCTTTTACTATCTTCTTTGCGCATATGATACCACAAAAGTACCTCACAGTCTAGTTCACAGATAATGAAGTATATGCCACTCTATCTCCCAAAGCTTGATCCCACTTCAATCAATTTAGGTCGTAAAGAAATTAACCCTTGGCACTCTTCATCTTTCCACATTCCGCCTAATGTGTACAAACTCCGGTACTCAAATAGCCAAATCTCAAGGAAACGGGAAACATACATAGACATCGGGCTGTAGAAACCATTAGCATACGCAGACCCTGATAACTTCCGCGAAAGAAACCATCTTCGTACCTTGTTATGTAAAAAACAGCCCACGCTCGAATACAAATGAGACTAAAGCTATGCTGTCTTGACTCCTGGTGAGTAGGTACTGTTAAGGTTAAGGGAAAGTGAGAGAAACAAGATATGGTTATCTAGTCTAGTGAGTTGAGTTCTTCCCTTCCCCCAACCCCCCCCCCCTTTTTTCCTTTTTTTCCCCCCATATTTTCTTGTCTTCACAGTGTGTTAATAATTTGATACAGGAACAGTTGTGATCCTCTTTCTGGAACAAGTTATGCTCCCCTTTAACAATGAGAATAATAGGGCCTGCGCTTGCTGCTGAGAAAACGGATGAACTGTGCACGCCCAAAGTTGGACTGGAGGGAAGATTTCTGCAGAGTATCGAATGAGATAGAGAGAAGAGAGGCGAAGACAGAATGGAGCGCAATAGGCAGGAATTGGAAATGACCGTAAACAACCCTGAATTAACTAATCATCATCCATAAGCCATTATTTGTGTTTGTATTTCAAGAAAGCCCAGTTCGAGCGGCTGAGTATTTTCCAAATTCTTTGTTAGAACAAAAGAGAGTTTTTTGTTCGTTTCCGAGGTAGCAGATCCATGATTTGCAATAACCACACCAAATTCACTATTCCTCTGGGCTTTAATCATGTGTTCTCGGGCTGCTTGTTGTGTATTGCTGTAACCGGCTTGACGACACAACGTTCATGAGCATCTGTCAAGGTGGTTCGTTCTATTGACCGGGTTAGGGCAGGGACTGTGGCTGGAAGGCGTGTTGGCTGTGGAGCCTCAATCCTGCCCTTCTAGTCAGAAGAGATGGAGGTCAGATAGACGATTCTAATTTGAGGTGAAGTTATTATGAGAGTAACTTACCAGGTCATTTCCAAGGATATGTCTTCCCCTTGGACGAACATCCACCAGAGACGATGTCCCAGCTAGGCTTCCCTGGATCGCAACAGTCTGTTCGAGTGTGCGCATCTCTTTGCGGAAAGAACGGCGAGGGAGCGAGGCTTCTGATAGATTGAAGCTCTCATCAGGCCCTTTGTAGAAAGACACACTCCCGACAAGATCAGCTGTCAAGCTCTGGCTGGATCGCCACACATCACCGAAGTAGTCTGGGTTGCAGCGGGATAAGGCCTCGTCACGGTAGGGGAAAGGTGTAGAGCGACGTGATCGAACCCCATCTACCGAGATCCTGATCTGAGTAAGATGCTGCAAATAAGAAATGTAACTGTCATCGGCCCTCGCTGAAGGTTTGTGGATGGTGAATTGTCTGGCGATATCACAGAAGAGATGTACGGCAGCTAATCCTCTTGCTACACTCAGCCACAGCGCCGTTTTGAGCATCAGGTTGAGAGATACATTGCTGGAGTCCTCAGATGACCAATGAGCCAAGTCCCCCGGTTCCGCTTCCTCGGCAGATGCGCGAGGGGTTCTCGGCGACGATGGTGGCAGCCAGCCAGATGCGCGCGCTTTCGCTGGGTCTGCTCTTGCTAGGTGGTTTTTGTAGTACTGATGAAACACGGTAAGCTCGATATCGGACTCTGAAAAGCCATCCCAGCTCAGGGAAGCCCTGCACGCGCGGAGTCGAATGTCCCTCATGCTCATCATTGCTGCTCGTTCTTGGGATACAGGGAGAGGGTTGTAAATAGTTTCTAAGCAGGTAATCAGTTTGATGATCCAAATCCAAGTTCGAAGCGGGCTTTCTACTTACTGTGCTCATCTTTTGATTTGATTGCTCGGAGAATGTCTTGCTTGAATTCCTCAATGACTTTCACCGATGCCTCGAGTTGCTGGCACACCTTCACAATATGAGGATATCTGGAGTTCATCCAGTAGACACGCGTAGCATCCTCTCCACGCAAAGGCGCCAACAGCTTTCTCAACATCTCGAGCTCGGCGCCGAAGAACGTCTCGTCGGTGATACTAGTATTATCGGGATGTGTAATTGCCCAGCGTTTGTAACGCTCACGAAGCCATTTCTCCAAAGTTGCCTGGATTCCCTGCATCTTGCCACAGTTCTCGAGCAGAATGATTGATAAGTGAGCATACGATCCGGGGAAAAGCTTGTCAGATAGCAGGGAAAGGCTGGTTACGACCTCTCTGGGAAAGAGGCCAGGGTCGAAGCCTTTAGTGAACTGCTGCATCAGCTCTTCCACTCTCTTCTTTTCAGTATCGGTGATCTCTTTCGCTTTCTCGTCCAACAATCCACAGCCATGGATATCTAATGGAATATCAATGGCCGAGGCAGAGTTATCCTCTTCAGAATGCTCCGGAGGGGGCGTAGGGCAAAGCTTGAACAGCTCCATGTTGCATTCCCGATAAAATACTCGATAGAAACATTCAAGATCAGGTACCACCTTCTGCTATGCTGTAATAGAAGCAAGCCAAAGAGTAGGAGATGGCATGGAATGGGCATAGGTTAGTATTGGGAGAATTTGACAAACTTCTCGGGGATTACCTAGATAGTGAATCTAGATCGTTATAAGTATTCTTAGTCAAGGTTGATGAAGAGATCCACAGGCGTGTCTCTGCTGCAGAACCGTGCAAGAGAAGATGAAGAAGAGAATGATAGGAAACAAACAAGGTCCAACACGACAACGGAGGGTGTGAGGGGTTCATGAAGTGAATGAGACAAAATCCAGTGAATTCATTCGACACTGAGAGTTTAGGATAAGACAGTAACTTAGTGCAAATAAGATCATACCCTCACTGTAAGATTCTCACAATAACAAGTCGCTGAAAGGTTTTCTCCACAAATTAGATAACCCAAACAGCAACATAACCTATATCCTTGATATGGTGATTGCTAATAGAGGAATAGAATATTCTCTAGTAAATTCTCCACTGAACTTACCAATACCTGCCAGTACTAGTGATTGAACGTAGCTTCTCTTCGTCCATTCTACTAATAATCTTGTCTGTGGCTTTCCTTTGTAACAATTCTCAGGGGAAATTTTACAAATTTTCATATTATAACAATGAGTGCTTGAAGTCACTATCAGGGCAAGCCACCCTATCCTGGTGATCTATAGTCTAACCCGACCAGCTGCAAGGTTATGAATATATATAGCTATCCAAGCTCGAATAAATAGTATTTCCCCTCTTGTTATATGTAGTAGTCTAGATCTGATATCTATTCCAAAAGCAGCAATATCAGCAATATAGCTGATCTTCTTTTGTCTTGCGGTTCTGGTTCGACTTAGCATTACCTTTTGCCCACAGTTACAATGCTAATAATTAATTTTTTTCCCACTGAGTAAAATAATGAACAGTTCGCAGATTTGACCTATCGATGACATTATTTGTTTGGTAATTATGAGTAGAACGGTTGTGATAAAGAAACCCAGTACACTTCTAAATAGATGTCAGTGATGGAGAAGGCTCAATCACGATGTAAGTTTACGATATTTAGTATCAGACTCTTTCAGCTAATTTTCATCCTTTCTCGATTCAATCAACTGTATTGAAGTCGATGTTTATTTTGAGCTCCGGCGGCACTGGGGGGTAGCGATCCAATACACGGAGTAGAGAATGGACACATAGAGCACTTTTCCCGATGATGATCGTCCAGATGTGAGATATCACCTGTCATTGAAGCACGAGGTGGATCGGAAAGTTGAATCGGGTTGAACTTTCTCATGGCAGCAGTTGCCAGGTCGAGCGGTGTATTACACTTAAGGTCCTGGTTGAATTTCCTCGCTAGATAAACATGCTGGGATCTGCGACAATATCAGTGCCTAATGGCGATATCGAGTAAGTATTCGGACTATATAAATACTAACGGTGAACGTTGTCGTAAAGGCGTATCGGACATGATGCATCACATTCTCTATATGAAGCCATAAAATGTGCCAAATATCCTCAGGAATCCTTTTAGAATCTTGATCGCTCCTTTTTATGTTCAGTTGTTTGTTCTTGTCATACACGCCGAGCTTTCCGGAAGACTCCAACAAGATACACGGCCAATAGATACCAGGAGATACTGCAGATTTCATAAGTCGCGTCGGGATCAAGATCAAATAGTGTTCTGCAATTCAAAGGCTTCCTCTTTACAACGCTAGGTGAGCACTCACCCAGGGTGTCAAGTGCGAAGTATTTATCCGGGAGATGATGGCCAACAGACATTCCGTGAAGAGAGACATTGAATCGGAAGTATTTACAGGAGACAAGATCATCTCGAGGACGTAGAGGGAGCATATAAGACTACAATGATCTGTCCCAGATCTCACTGGTAATAAATAAAGACGTTTGTTGCCTTTGCAACTTTGTGACCCTGTCATATCGATGAGAAGTGTCTCACAATGTTGGCTATTTCATCCCAAACATGGGATTCTAAAGGCTCAGAAAGAGCAAGTCACAGTCAGCTGGGAAATATGTAGGAAGTATATACATGAGCATGATGCAGAGAGGTCTAGTGGTAGTCATCAGAAGCCTTGGTAAGGGCATGAATCTGGGACCCCCAGAGTATCAATATAACGACATAATAAATCTAAGATAGGCAGATTGTGAAGTGCTGAATGCCTTTATCCCGGGGCAATCTAGGAATAAATCGCAATTGGGTCTAAGAGAAGTGCGTGTAACATGCATGTATCTCTACTATAGTAGTAGTACATAGTATGCACAGTGACCCCGTTCAGAAACACGTGGATCGCCGGGGCCACAGGATACGTAGTGGCCGATCTTGCTTGGAAGTACGTAAGGCTGTTCCTTTGCATACTGGGTCGCTTGACGTCTTTCTGGGTGCCGGTTGGATATCGTCAAGGCGGAGCTGAAACTGAGGAGGAGGGTAATCTCTAGAGCGCTTATCTGCTCGTCATCGACTGAGCGACTTGATTTAGCAATTTAACACAGTAGTATACACAGTAAGTACTCGGAGTACGTTTGGAATTGCGCAATTGATGAACTGGCGATGGGGTAGGGTCTTGCACCGTAACATCCAATTGGCTTGAGTTTAATGTAAGTAGCTTAAAATGGATCTAAGTACTAAGTAGTATATCTCACCTAAAGCTTTGTCTATTATGCGCGAAAGCTACTTTTTTTTTTTTTTTTGGTTGGTGGCTGGGGCGGGGTACTAAGTATGGAGAGAACAAGCCTAAGAGATGGCTGTCTCCACTTCTAACAATCAGACAATCGGAACATTAGTACTATCATTGCTCAATGATACGAGCTGTGGCCTGCAAGTACGGGAACAAAGCAGGAAAGAAAAGCGAAGAAAGAGATACATTAGAAGTTACGAGATGAAAAGAAAAGCAACATTACGTGGAGAGCATGAAGGACGGTCAACCAAGGTCGTGGGATCCAGCTCCTCCACTTGCTGAGGTCATATCTGCATCGAGACGATCCTTTTTGAGCAACGATCGCTGGCCGGAGTGCGCGTCAAGGCCGACCTTCTATCCCGGCCGGTCCGCAGGTTTAACTTAAGCGTAGCAGATTCCCAGGGCGGTGGAACTCATACTTTATGTCGTCGTTGCAAGTTGCCACAGTGCGCAGTCAGCACGTTGTACTCCGTGCCGTCCATAACCTTCTTGTTGACCGGAAAGAACTTTCTTACAATAATACCGACGGTAAATGTACATACATATGTACATATAGTTGGAATTATCTAATCAAGCACAGTAACTAACTAACTAAATATACATTCAGGAGAGGCGTGGACTTATCGCTTGCCATCGAAATTGAATATATGCCATTCAATGTACGTAGGTAAGGTAAGGTAATGTTTCGATGGCATTGAACATGATTGGTATCCGTGGATGCGGCAAGGTACCGTATTTAGATACGGACCTTTATGTGCCACACATATTCCCCTGACTGTTCTGCAAGTTCAAATTTAATTACCACTCGGAGTAAAGGGGTAAAAAGGAGGCTGTCAAAAGGGGAGGGGGGTTGGATACAACAGTTTTAGTCTCTCATAGGAATACCTGCTTAATATAAATAGCGCTGCATAGTGCCATATTAGTTTAACGGGAATGTAACCTCCTCCGAAGCACTTGATGTTGTGGCACAGAAGGGATGTGGCAGTGCGGGAGTTCCATCTCTTATCCACTTGGGCAATACATTTGAAGAACCTAACTCGATACACACCCTTACCGTGTACAAGCAAATACCAGGCCACCCGGGTTACCCCATTCCATCCAAGCCAAGTGCACAGACTACTAATGGGAAAGGGGAATACTACTCGATACTAACTACTAGTAGACATTAGGTGGCCAAACCGATCTTGGCAGCCAAGCCTACGTTGTTTCTCCTCACCTGTAGAAGGGCGAAGACCGAATGATATGGTAAGGCAAAAAATGGACGGAACAGGCGCCCGTATCTGTACTGGTACAAAGCAGTCATGTAGTAAGACATGCAGGTCTTAAGTTACTATATTTGGATAGCAAGAGCCATCTTTTGCATTTCTCCGTACTCGATTTGGATTTTATAGGCCCGGGTCAATGGCGACAAAATCCCCGGGGGGCAGTTTGTCCAGGAAACACATACCGTTTGAGATTCGGGTGATATGAGTTACACTGTGTAAATGTATATGTTATTGGGGTGAAATAGTCTAGATTGTATTGATAGTCATCGTGGATCCTCGGGGTTCATTGGGTTTTGTTTTATTTTAATTTTTTTTAAATGTGCCGCCTTATATCATGGGTGCTAACCTGAAACTGAAAGGAGAGATCGAAAAAAGAAAAGAAAAAACAGAAAGCCTCCTATGAAATTGGTGGGACATGCAGCGAATTTCTCTGATCCACGCCGATCTTGTTTGATCAATTTGGGGAAGACCAGCAGGGATGATATTTTTTTCCCTTTCTTTCTTTTTTCTTTTTTCTTTTTTCTTTTATTTTTTTTTT